CAACAACAACAAAAACAAACAAAAAACTGTTCTTCAACAGTTGAGACAAGGGCTATTCAAAGTCATTACATCTTGAAATTAATTTCACTTATCTTCTTTTTTTTTTTAGAAACTTAATTAGCTTTAAAGAAGCACTCAAGAATGATAGAGGTTTTGTGAGCACTTAGACATAGTAATAATACAACTCTTTGAGGACAGAGGTCCTGCATGGTAAGTTAGTGCACAGTGACTCCTGTTGTTAATTTAATTAAAACTCTAATGTGTGACATCAGTGATGAACCAGGGTTCTTGACATGAGCTGCCTAGGTTATGGAAGCCTTTTGAATCCACAAACTTCATCAGTATTTAGACAAGGCCATAAGAAAAGTGGAAGTTCTCTTCTCCCTTCAGAGAAAACTACATCCTTCTTTGATGACCGCTTCTTTCCACTGGGGTCTCACTCACAGAGATCCTTCATATAGGACATTTTTTGCAACAGTGTCTTGGCTTTTCATGCCTGAAATGCTCTCGTGGGCTTTTCAGCCAGACTAGACTGCCTTAAGGACTGATTCTGAAGCCAGAGTGATAGTTAAAGTGATTATCATTCTATGAGTCTGCTGTGTGGACTGCTTCCCATGTTGGAGTATTCACTCCTTTTTAATTATATCTATTGTTATTACCAGACCCTTAATCCTATCCATATGATCCCTTTAGGATGGTATTTTTATAACCTAGCTTAAAGGCTTTGGGGTCCCATGGCAAATTTTTAAACTGTACCCTCAGAAGTAAGTCCTTAGGAATATATGCAGAGGTATACAGCTTTACAGTTACAGACTTCATACACTTCATAATTACAATTTTAGGAACATGGTGATTCTTCCCACCGTGCCCACCCTCCCACCCATACTCTCAAACCCTCTTCCTCCTCTCTCTCTTGTTCCATTCTTGACTTTAGCAGTGACCTATTCCTAACAGTTCCATCTCTTCCTGATTCTCCCCCTGCCAATCCCATCCTGGCTTCAATATTCTGACTATTTGTTTTGCTTCTCCAGCCTCCTCCTCCCCATGACCGAGGTAACTATTCATAAATCATCTGACAGGAAGTGCCAGTCCTGTGTACTTGTCAAGTTAGTGTCAGTTTATCCAGCAGAATATTCAGGCTCCTTCTTTTTTATTGAATACTTTTACCAGGACTAAAAAATAATTGCCAAGCTAGTCATGTGCCAAAATCAGTGTTAGGTTTTTTTTAATTGTAATGTTTAATTTAATGTTATTGGGTGTTAATCAAAACAAGCTGTCTGGGAACCAACCTTATTAGCTTATGATTGTTAGGAGAGTAGAAACTGAAAAAAAAAAAAAAATTCCCATGGAATGGGTTTTCTGAGTGGGATAAGGACCTGTAACCACTGTGAAAGAGTCAGATAAAATTGCAGCCCACCTCTCTCTCAAAACATTTTTGGAGGGCCTCTCATTTTATTTGTTTTCAGGCTGCTCCCGAGGTGAAAAACTGGGCCCCCTACCCTGTGTTGCTAGCTGACTTTGTCCGTGATCCCTGTCCAATTAAGATTTCCGAGTTGCTTTCACAAAGCTGACGGCCCACTGAAGGGAAGAGTGAAGTCAGATGAAAGAACTGAAGGGAGGTGGTGAGGGAAGGAACAGGCGGCAGAGACGTTTGTCTTTTTACTTCATTGTGTCGTGAAGAGTGGGAAAAAGCTCCTGTCACCGGTCCACACAGAATTCAGGATCCATGTGCTCTGCACTCCTGCAGAAAGGATCCAGTTGTAACTGGAAAATGCAAGAGGGCAGAATTAAGATTAACTCTGCATTTCCTGCTTCCTGTGCAATTAAATTTTCTCCCTTGCTGTTGAGTAACTGCAGTGATTGCTCCACATAATAGAGCATAAACTAGAAGGCAAAACAGGATGAGGTGGTACGGGCTATAGGGAGATCATGAGCCGAAATTCGTGAGAAGTTATGATTACAATACTTGGATCTTCAAGAATCAAAAATCCAAACAATAAGTCAATGAGAAAAATAATCTGTTGGGGCTAGTGTTGTGGTATATTGGGTCAAGCCACTGCCTACAAGGCAGACATCCCATTATGGCACCGGTTCAAGTCTCAGCTGTTCTACCTCCAATCCAGCTCCCTGCTAATGCGCCTGGGAAAGCAGTGGAAGATGGTCCCAGTCCTTGGGCCCCTGTCACCCATGTAGGAGACCTGGATGCAGCTCTAGGGTTGTGGCTTCAGCCTGGCCCAGCCCAGGCCATTATGGCCATTTGAGGAGTGAACCAGCAGGTAGAAGATTTCTCTCTCTCTCTCTCTCTCTCTCTCTCTCTCTCTAACTCTGCCTTTCAAATAAATAAGTCTTTAAAAAAAGAAAAAAATAATCTAGGGGCTGGTGCTGTGGCGCAGCAGGTTAAAGCCCCTGGCCTACAATACTGGTATCCCACATGGGCGCCAGTTCGAGTCCCAGCTGCTCCACTTCTGATCCAGCTCTCTGCTGTGACCTGGGAAAGCAGTGGAAGATGGCCCAAGTCCTTGGGCGCCTGCACCAGGAAGAATCTCCTGTCTCCTGGCTTCAGATCGGCTCAGCTCTGGCTGTTGCGGTCATTTGGGGAGTGAGCCAGTGGATAGAAGACCTCTTTCTCTGGCTCTAACTTTCTCTGTAACTCTTTCAAATAAATAAAATAAATTTTTTTTTTAAAAAGTAATCTATTAATATGTTGAATTTTTTTTTTGACAGGCAAAGTGGACAGTGAGAGAGAGAGAGACAGAGAGAAAGGTCTTCCTTTGCCGTTGGTTCACCCTCCAATGGCCGCTGCGGCCGGCGCATTGGGCTGATCTGAAGCCAGGAGCCAGGTGCTTCTCCTGGTCTCCCATGCAGGTGCAGGGCCCAAGCACTTGGGCCATCCTCCACTGCACTCCTGGGCCACAGCAGAGAGCTGGACTGGAAGAGGGGCAACCGGGACAGAATTCGGTGCCCCGACCGGGACTAGAACCCGGTGTGCTGGCGCCGCAAGGCGGAGGATTAGCCTATTGAGCCGCGGCATCGGCCAATATGTTGAATTTTTCAAAGTAACCCATTAATCTGTTAGATTGTGATAATTTGCTTTCCAATCCAAAATTTTACAAAATAATTTTTAAAATAATGGCTTTAAGAACCTCAAACAAAAATAAATCTTTTCATCCTAAATACTAGTCCTTGTATTTTCCCTCCTATATCCACTGCAGGTGCAAGGAAGGGCTTCCGCTGTGAAACTTTATTCAGTTTGGGGCAGTTTTCTCTCCATTTTCTCTGCAGGCCCCATTTTTAAAATATTGGGTTTGTTATTCTTTGTATTGTTTACTGTAGTGGAAACAGCAATGGACAACATCAAGTCTTGGAAGGAGAACAGAGGTTGCAGGAAATCAGTCTCTCATTAGTGCTCCCAGTAGGGAAACTTTGCCTCTGCACGAAGCTGGCCGTAACTACTCATAAACAGAGAAGTGGGACTGCTGGCTTTGCTAATGCAGCGGTGGCTACGCTTCCGTGTGAGGATAGAAAAAGGGCACCTTGTCAGACAAACTGCTCTCGGATTTCTGTTCCTCCATATCTCTGCCTGTTTTGTAATGGGAAGGCCTGTGCCTCTGTTTCCACGTCACACTCAGAGGCGCGTGGATCTCTTTGGAGCTGCTGACAACTCTACGTGCAGACTCTGCCCTCTTGGGAGTGGCTGTCTTATGGAATTCCCATTTTCATATTCCTGGCTTACACTTAGAGGAATCTGTTTTGAACAACTACTTTCTGTTCATTAAGAGAAAAACTTCAAGCGCAGATCTTATTTGCTGTTTAGTATCATCAAGTTCCAAGAAGGCTAAATATTGTTCTTAGTTGTTTCCTGTTCCATATTTACCCAAAATGTATCTTATCAAATCAGATGATGAAAGTTGGCATTAGAATTCTCCCACTTAGCAGATAGAAATACAGAGCAGAAAAATACAGTCAAAAATGAATTTCAGATGAGCAACAAATATTTAGTGCAGTTATGCCCGCAATTTAAGTGGGTCCTATATTTTCTTTGTCAAACCTAAATTAACAAATCAAGATTCCAGAGTTAAATGGGCTAGGGAATCATAGGTCACAATATTAAAGATACGAATTGGATATAAACAAATGTTCCCATTTGAACATTCTAAGTCTTATGGTAATGCGGTCATGTTTTAAAAGAATCCTTGTCTTTTAGAGATACTTGCTGAAACATTTGTTGATGGTTGTGTGATATTTGGGATTTACTTCTAAATAATAAAGGAAGCAGAGAAGAGAGTGGAGCAGGATTGAATGTAGGCTGATGGGTAAATGAAGGTTGATGATCCTATTTTGTCTATTTTTTTTATTATGTTGTGAATTTTCCACAGGAAAGGAAACTCTGCGTGTGTGTGTGTGTGTGTGTGTGTAAGCCCTGTCTTCATGTTTAAAGAACCCATCATGAACCTCTCCATCATCCAGCAGCACAGGATTTGTTCAGTGGCATGCAAAGAGGCTGCGGGTGGAAGGAGGCTTGGGAGCCACATTCAGAGTTATGGACCACCCTGTTCCTAGAAGGGTGTATTTACCCTCCTGGTTTTTGACTTTCCCTTTCAAGAGAGTTGCAAGGTAGCTCCCAGCCTCTAGGAATTCAGATCGCTCAGTGTGTAACAGAGGATGGCTAGGTAAGGCTTCCAACAGAGAGGAGATGGCTAAGTAGAGAGGGATAATGCTCTGTGAGAATAGCTCGATGCAAAATGAAATAACCTGTTGGACTGGGTCAGAATGACATTACATTCTAATTTACTTGTGGTCTTTACAAATCTCTTGAAATGATTGTACTGAGATCCTAGACAACCAATAAATTGAATATGCAGGCAAATAAGCCATTACCAGGCTAGCTTTCCTCACAGGTGTGCTGTCGGCAAATGGGAACGCTCGGTCTACAGCATGGTTCTGGACCGAGTGGTTCGCTGATGCATATCTTCAATGTTTCCTTTCTTGTCTTATTCCAGGATTTCCTCCAAATGTTGTTGGAGAGCATCCCAGAAGAAAAAAGGTAAGGACCAACTTAGGAATTAAAGGCCTAGGTTTACCTTTTTTTTTTTTTTTTTTTAAGATTTATTTACTTGAAAGGCAGAGCTAGGGGCTGGCATTGTGAGTAAAGCCACCACCTACAACACAGACATCCCATATTGGCACCAGTTTGTGTCCCGGCTGTTCTACTTCAATTCTAGCCTCCTACTAATGGCCTAGGGAAGCAATGGAAGATGGCCCAAGTGTTTGAACCTCTGCCACCCACATGGTAGACCCAGATGAAGCTCCTGGCTCCTGACTTCAGCCTAGCCCAGCTTCAGCCGTTGTGGCCATTTGGGGAGTGAACCAGTGGATGAAAGATCTCTCTCTCTCACTCTCTCTCTCTGTGTCTCTCTTTCTTCTCTCTCTCTCTGTGTAACTCTGACTTTCAAGTAAATAAATATTAAAAAAAAAAAAAAAGACACAAAGAAAAACAGAGCAATGTGGGGGCAGAGTTTGGTGGGGAGGGGTAGAGATCATTCATCTCCCGCCTTACTCCCAAATGGCCACAACAGCCAGGGCTAGGCCAAGCCAAAGCCAGGAACCAGGAGCTGCATCTTGGTCTCTCACATGAATGGTAGGGGCCCAAGTACTCGGGCCATGCACTTTAGTAGCAAGATGGATTGGAAGTGGAATAGCCAGCACTCAAACTTGTGCTCCATTATGGAATACCGGCTTCACAGGTGGTGGTTTAACCTGCTGCCCCACTCCCCCCACCTCCATTTCAATTTTATTTTTAGTGTTACAAATGACTTCACCATCATTTGCCTGTTACAAGATAGAAGGTTCAATCTTCCTCTCTTAATAGAGGCAAGGACCTCACTCAGCCAGTGGGAGTCACAGGAAAATCAACCAAATTTTAGGGTGACCCTGTGTTGATATTGGGATTCCCAGAGTCAGGAACCCTGACCATGGTGTAGGAGTTAAGCCAAAGACTGTCTGTGGTCTCAGCCGCTGTGGAAAAGAATGGAGGAGAGGCAAGTCCTAAATGTTAGGGGAGGGCTCCAGTTAACACGGCTCTCTGATGAAATGCTGTTTGATGGCAGGTGTGTGGTATGAAAATGAGGTGTAGTCGTCAGACCTGGGACTTGAAGTCAGGCTCTTCCGCGGGTTCTAAACGCAGCTCTGTACTTCCCAACTATCAGATCCCGAGCAAGTCACTTTATCTCTGCAAATTTCAGTTTCTGGCCCAGGTTGCATAATTTTAGGGAGGACTAACAGAGCTAGCATATCTTTTTAAAAAGGAGGTGCTCAATTAGTGACTTAAACGATTATTATAGTCATCTGTGCATCAGGTGCTGTAGACGGGTCTGTGTGCAATAATCAGCCCTAACTACAACCCTCTCCCTCTCCGTCTCCATCACCGTCACCATCACCGTCACCATCACCATCACCATCACCATCATAGTCATTACTAAAAGCAAGTGCTTACTGGGAGTTTACTATATTCAACCACTCATTTCATCCTCCAAACAACACTATTTGGTACATTATGTTTTAATTCCTATTTTACCAAGAGAAGCACTGAGGAGCCAAGAGGATAAGTAGCCAGCCCAGGCTGAAGTTCGAGTCCAAGCCGTCCGGCCCTAGCATCTATGCCCCTGCCCCCTGTGTTACAGAGGAGGAAACAGGCTCCCAGAGGTTGGGTAGCTTTCCCGAGATACTTCAGCAGTAGAGACAGTGCAGAGGGGAGCTAGATCTGTCTGACTCTAGCCCATGCTCTTCTCAGCGCATTGCTCAGTATGGACTCACTGCCCTGGTGAGGAAGGAGATGCTGATCCTTGCAGGTGTCCAGTTCTGCACTGACTGGGTCATGGAGGAGATGTAAGACCTATGTCATGGGTTGAACATAGGTCTTACACCTATCCAACCCTGTCCTTCTGATTTCTTGTCTTAGCTTGAATTCTAAAAGTGAATACCCTGACACATAATCTGTTTTAATTTATTTATTTGAAAGGCAGAGAGAGAGAGAGAAAGAGAGAGAGAGAGAAAGAGAGAGAGAGAACAATCTACCATCTGCTGGTTCACTCCTCAAATGCCTGTAACAGCAAGGGCAGAGCCCAGAGGCCGAGCTGGGAACTCCATCTGCGTTTCCCATGTTGGTGCCAGGGACCCAACCCTGAGAGCCACCACTTATTGCCTCCTCACAGTGCACATAAGCAGGAAGCTGGAATTGGGAGCAGAACCAGGGCTTGAACCCAGGCACTCCAGATATGGAGTGTAGGCACACAAGATACAAAACAGAATCTTTTTTTTTTTTTTTAATTATTTGATAGGCAGAGTTACAGAGAGGGAAAGAGAGACAGAGAGAGATCTTCCATCACTGGTTCACTTCCCAAATGGCTGCAGCAACTGAGGCTGGGCCACGCTGAAACCAAGAACCAGGAGCTTCTTCCAGGTCTCCTGTGTGGGTGCAGGGGCCCAGAGACTTGGGCCATCTTCTGCTGCTTTTCCAGCACATGATCAGGGAGCTGGATTGGAAGTGGAGCAGCCGGGACTCTAACTGGCACCCATATGGGATACTGGCACTGCAGTCCATAGCTTAACCCCACTATGCCACAGTGCCAGCCCCTCCACACAGCATCTCAATTGTTGAACTAAGTGCCCTGTCTTTGAAACAGACTTTCTGATGGCCAGACCAGTACTGACATTAAGGAGGGTGGGTGCATCTAGGGAAATTCAAAGTGTCTTTGAAGAAAAGGTAACAATGCTGTCTCCTGCTTTCTGACCCACAGTTTTAGCTGTTTGTATGCGTGTCACAGATTTCCAAATGTGGAAATGAATTCTCTGAAGCAGACAGAGAGGCTGAGGTTCATGCAAGGCCAGGCCCCTCCTGTCGATGAGCCTGCCCTAGAGGCAGGGTAAACCGGGTAAGGAGGAGATATCAGGGCTTTTGCTACCAGGAGATGGCACGCAGACTCAGGAGAGGATCCAGGGGCTGTAGGATGCACAGAGTTTTCCTAAGCATTGCCTTGCTGCCTGGCCTTTTCTTTGTTTTTTAAACTCCTCCAACTTTACCTTCAAATTCTTTCTCAAACAGGTAGAAGTGTTTTTCTTCTTTGTTGTTAATAATGTGGAAACACACACACACACACAGACACACACACATGCAGACCCGGTAAGCCTGTGCGTCATGCAGAATTAACATACCCGTGTTATTTGATCAATTCCCTGGTTTCTGCCCCTCCCTGCACGCATGCCCACTGGTGCTGAAGGAAGGCCTGGCTGAGCGAGCTTTCCAGGAGGCTGCCTGGAGGGAGTGAGGCTAGCTCACAGGTGTGCGTTTGTTTTTGTTTTCCAGCCGACTTGGGTTTTCTGTACGTAAACAAATCCCAGCAGCTGTGGCAGTTACTCCTCATGAACAAGACCAACAGTTTCCCGGAAAGACATTTTTTTTTTCTCTTTTCTTTCATACCTGTCCCAGAACAACTTTTCAAGCCCTCTGATAGAAGAGCTGTTTCCTTAGGAACTAAAGCAGAGGGAAAAAGAGAATGCATAGAACTATCTAGGCTGTCCCAAAGTCGCTTCTGCGTGGTGACTGTGCATTCTTTCAGAAAGACTTTCTTAGGGCATAAACAGAGCAGTTTTCACTGGAGCAACAAAGTGCATTTTTGGGTTTGGAGGCCTTCTCTCTTTTAATCCTTTTCCTAATAAGGTTGTGGAGTTCATGTGGATGGCCCCTGAGCCCTCTGGCTCTGGGGGACCTGGATTTTATCATTGTGCGTATTTATTGAGGCAACACACTGGGCCCACAAAGAGACTTTTGTTGTGATTATGGACGTTTAAGAACAGCGGTCCCTGTCTTAACGCTGGCCTCCAACCTCCAGCCACCAGCCACATGCTCCTTGATAGGATACCTCTTACAGTTAAGATCATGTTTTTGCCAGCAGGTTTAAGCTGCTTTAAAAAAATTTTTTCAAAGTTAAGATGATTTCATTCCTCCAGTCAATCTATTTCAACAAGAATACCAGGGTGTATTTTAAAACGTGAGCATTTTCTTGCCTGCTAACTAATCTCAACAATCTCACCAGGCTAGTAAAACGGACTGTTTACCCTATTACCTATGCCGCATATTGTACCAATTGTATCCAGGTCTCCAATGGCCCGCGCCTTACCCCCTGGAGCCTCTGATCGCTGGCCTCTGTTGCAAACTGATCTTCGGGCACATCTGTTAGGCACGTGAGCTGCTGTGAATGGCACAGGCTCCTCAGCACAGACCTGCCAGCTAGTATGCACGGGCTCGCTTTCCGTGTCATGAGGCCTTCGCCCTGTTTTCTGGCTTTGAGCATTTATTTAACATTCTCTATTGAGCATCTGCCGTGGCAAGCTCCAGGCTGGACACTGGGGACCAGAGAGGAGGAAATCCCATGTGCAAACCTCTCCTGATGGACTCCTGGAGACGTGGATGGAAGAGGCCAGTAGGACTCCCTGGAGGAGGTGTTCTGATGAAATTCCTGTGGGCAGAGAAAGGGCCCCTCACTCAGTCTTGGCCTTGAGCCTCCGTGGCAGAGGCACTGAAGGGTCTGAGGAAGGGGGTGCCATTGGCAGACTGGACAGATCCCTCTGGGGCAGTGTGGAGGACGGCCAGGGCCAGTGAGGGCTGGATCTCTTACAAACCAGCAGAGCCTTTTGGTCACGATACCTCGAGAGCTGGAGCTGCAAGAGAGATGGTGACGGCAGCAATGGGCTTTGTGAGTAGGAACGGATCTGAGGGCTTGGTTGACCGATTGTGAAAGCCGAATAGAAGAGTTAGGCATGAGCCTGACCTTTCTTTCTTGGCCACTCGGTCACACTCTGAAGTCACAGCGAAAAGCTACAGGGCAGGTGCTTGTCTTGGAAATCAGCGTGGAGCAGAGGGAATGGGAGGGCAGAGATAAGGGCAGAAAAACAATGTGTTTAGAGAGAAATTCGGGCAAATCCTGGGTGCCAGGCTTCCCTTGTAAGAGAGTAGCCTGCCGAGGACCTTATCCAGTACTCCTTGGCCTGCTGGGAGTCCAGTGTTATCAGCAGCTTCTGGTTCCTTCTTTTCCCACCAGTTGGCTGTGTGTGTGTGTACATGTTCAGTGTTTGCTTTAATCCAATACTCTCCCTCCTCCAGGGAGCTGGGGAGTACTCGTTTTGTAAATGTTATGTCAGCAGTCTTCATTATCTGCCCAAGCGCAAACAAAACTTGTTTTGATCAAGAAGATAATCAGGTGCAAAGCTCTGAGATGCACACTGTTTCTGTCCACTTGCAGAGAGGGAACCTAAAATTGTAAACTACTGGGTGGGCGTTTGGCACAGCCGCTAAGTAGTGCCTTGGACAGCCGTGTCCCGTATTGGAGTACCTGGTTTGAGTCCTGCCTACTCTGTTTCCAATCCAGCAGTTGATGGCTTAAGTGCTTGGGTTCTGCCACACATGTGGGAGACTCGATGAAATTCCTGGCTCCTGGCTTTGGCCTGTCTCAGTGCTGAATGTTGTTGGCATTTGGAGAGTAAACCAGCAGATGGATGATCTGTCTCTTTAGGCCTTTCAAATAAAAATGAGAAGAAAAATTTTTAAATAATAAATTACTAAAATTGAAAAATACATGCAGGGGCCAGCACTGTGGCACAGCAGGTTAAAGCCCTGGCCTGTAGCTCCGGCATCCCTTATGGGCACTGGTTCAAATCCCAGCTGCTCCACTTCCAATCCAGCTCTCAGCTAATGAGCCTGGGAAAGCAGTGGAGGATGGCCCAAGTGCTTGGGTCCTATACCCATGTGGGAGACTGGGAAGAAGCTCCTGGCTCCTGGCTTCGGATTGGCTCAGCAGCTCCGGCGGTTGCAGCCACTTGGAAAATGAACCAACGGCAAAGGAAGACCTCTCTCTCTGTCTCTCTCTCTCTTTTTTTTTTTTTTTTTTTTTTGACAGGCAGAGTGAACAGTGAGAGAGAGACAGAGAGAAAGGTCTTCCTTTGCCGTTGGTTCACCCTCCAATGGCCGCCGCGGCTGGCGCGCTGCAGCCGGCGCACCGCGCTGATCCGATGGCAGGAGCCAGGTACTTATTCTGGTCTCCCATGGGGTGCAGGGCCCAAGCACTTGGGCCATCCTCCACTGCCTTCCTGGGCCACAGCAGAGAGCTGGCCTGGAAGAGGGGCAACCGGGACAGAATCCGGCGCCCCAACCGGGACTAGAACCCGGTGTGCCGGTGCCGCAAGGCGGAGAATTTGCCTAGTGAGCCGCGGCGCCGGCCTCTCTGTCTCTTTCTCTCTGTCTCTACCTCTCTCTGTCACTCTTTCAAATAAATAATGAAAAGAAATGCATGCGGAATTTAAGTTGCCTTCCAGAACAAGGGCATTTTCTGTTTCAGCCCTAGGCCCTGGGGCTTCCACTGCTTCACCCCTGTCTAGTGCCTGGCACTGCGGAATTCTTTAGGTCTGTGTCTGTCATTTAGTTCATGTGAAAGCTGCTGCAGCCATGTGCTTTCCTTTAGAAACACTGACAGAATGTGCACTTTGGAATTCTCGGGAGGCCCAAGACAGGAGCTAAGAATGATAAACACTTTTCTCTTGATCAGCAACGAGCTGCTAGGCCCAAGTGACGGAGGTGGCGACTCTTTGACTCCCCCTCCTTGTCAGCCAGCCTCAGAAATCAACCGAGCGAGCCAGCGCAGGCAGGTGCGATGCCATTTTCACACAAGCCGCTGTTTATTTGTACTTAGACAGAACAACTGGTCACTTTCTCAGCTTTAAACCCAGCTTATTTGTGTAAGCAGCATCATGCCAGGGAGGCCACACATTCTCCCTGCTGCCTGAGCTAAGTAGCATTGCATGTATAGCTGAGAGAGATGGTTGAAACTCAGAGTGGCCCTGTAGGATGCAGCAGCAGAGCAAGGGAGCGGCCAGCCAGAGGGTAAAGCCACCTGCTCTCCCAGATCCGCCCCCCACCCCGGAGGCCTGGCTGTTGGTGATGAGGCGGGAAGCGGCGGCTCGCTAGTACAGATACAGAGGACGTGCAGTCTTGGTCTGTGTACTTTTAGCTGTCTGTATAAAATCAATTTCCATAGTGATCAGACATGCAGAAGAGTGATTTCCTGTAAGTCCCGGGTCCCAGCTGAGTGGAAATGCTTCTGCTTGCCTGTTGTGGTTGTCTAAGCCACATGATCTCAGAGGGAAAGAATTCACCACTGGCTTGGACTCTGAGCGTCTTCATTTGAAAAAGTCAACTTTTAGCTTACCCGCTACTAACTATCCAAGCCCAGACCCAAAAATCCACCTGCGTTGGCACCCCAGTAATTTCGATCAAGGCAGTAAAAACCTGCATACGTGTTATCTCTTTTCCTAAAACATATAGTCCATTGCTTTGAAAATTAAACATTTTCCTGCAATCTGTTACATTTCCCTGGCAGGTGGGGCAGCTTCACAGTGCCTCAGGGAGGAATTTTCTTTAGCGGCTGAAGTTGATGCATCCGTCTTCCGCTCCTGGTTTAGTGGCTCGGTGTCCGTGGTAGCAGCCCCCATATGGGCACAGTGCACTGACTCTGGGAATTGAGGAACCCGGGCTTTTTCTGTAGCCCTCCATCCGGGCTGACTTTGGCCAGAGTCCTCCTAGGCTGCAGTTTCTCCATCTGCTAAAACGCCACGCCACTTCACAGCGGTGTTAGGAGGAATGAAGTGATAATGGGTGTAAGATGCTTTAACCCTTCCCTACGGAAAGCGATCCGAAAACACATGTTCTCTGCGCTCACTTTTTGCTCCCGGATGCAGCTGAATGGTGAGCGCTCCTGCCCCTTACAGCGGTTTCCCCACCTCTTCAAAAATGTATTCGAAGGGCTGACAGGCAGGCAGGGCAGCTGCCGTGGGGGACGGGCCGCCGTCAGCGAGGAGGGGGAGTCGGCGTTGTCTCCTTAAGCTTTCCGTGGGCGAGGAAACAAAAGCTGGGGCTTTGGAGCTGGCCACTCAGCTTTGAATCCCAGCCCTTCCATCACGGCACTGGGAACCTTTATCTGTTCATGTCAGAGTCAGCAATGACAGTGCTGTTCTTGTACAGGTATTGCAGGAATTGCAAAGTTTTTTTTTTTTTTTTTTTTTTTTTTAAGATTTATTTACTTATTTGAAAGTCAGAGTTACACACAAAAAGAGAGGCAGAGAGAGAGAGAGAGGTCTTCCATCCACTGGTTCACTCCCCATTTGGGCACAATGGCTGGAGCTTCGCCAATCTGATACCAGGAGCCAGGAGCTTCTTCTGGGTCTCCCACGTGGGTGCAGGGGCCAAGGACTTGGGCCATCTTCTACTGCTTTCCCAGGCCGTAGCAGAGAACTGGATTAGAAGTGGAGCAGCCAGGACTTGAACCAGTGCCTTTTTGGGATGCTGGCACTGTAGGCATCAGCATCACCCATTATGCCACAGCTCCAGCACCTAAAGGGTGTTTTTTTAAAATTATTTATTTGAAAGGCAGAGTGACCCTGGTTATTTGCCCAAATAGCCTCAACAGCGGGGTTTGGCTAGTCTGAAGCAAGGAGCCAGAACTCCATCCACGTCTCCCACATAGGTGGCAGAAACTCAATCTCTTGGGTCCGTTTCCTCTGCTTCCCAGGTGCATTAGCAGGGAACTGGATTGGAAACTCAAGGGCCAAAACTTGAACCAGCACTCCAGTATGGGATGCGGGCATCTCACCTGGTGGCTTAACCTGCTGCACCACAACACCAGCCCCTACTGTAAAGTTTAAATGAGATCTGTGTCTGTTGTGTCTACTACATAGTAGTTATTCAATAAACAGTAGCTACTACTTCCAAGCCTTTTCTTGAGGTTTTTGTTTGTTTTATGTTTAGTGTCACTGCATTATAGTATCTCCGTATATAATTACTAAACACTGGCAAAGCAGAGATTGTCTTAACTGGCGATGAACTAACCTTCAGAGTTGGCCATGGACTGCCAGAGTGCATACAGAGGGTCACAGCATACACTGTCCCCCAGCCCTGCTGCAGGACCGTGCCCACACCACCCCCACATCTCCCCCTGCCCCCTCCCCCACCTGGTAGGCTCCTCTCTGGCTCCTGCGTAAACACATTCGGCAACCTCCCAGGGTCTGGTCTCGCTGCCTCCAGCCTCTCCCTCGGTTATTCTTTGGCAGCCATGCTTCAGAGCTCTCGCCGAGAAAGCCAAGGCCCAGTAGGCCCCCAGGGTCCTCAAAGGACACCCTGCTTGTTTCTGTCCTCCCCTCCCTGTACGTGCCAGGCCAGCTGGGTGAGCCGTGTCCACACGGCTGCTCTGGGATGTCCTGCTTCTGCTCTCTTTGCCCTGTGTGTGCTTCCTTCATTTCTAGGGTCCTGCCCCGTGGGGCAGCATGGCATATCCATCCTCCCCACACGGTTTCAGCCTGATGGGTCTCCCCTGAAGCCATCCGCCTCCGACCTGTGCAGTCCGAAGCATGTGCTGCTTCGTCCACACCCGTACTTCTTCCATACTCCCATCCTCATCTCCACCAGCACCCGGAGCACTCTGACTGGTGTCTGTCATATGTCCCAGTGTCTTCCTGAGTTTTTCGCCTCGGTCTCCCCCAGACCCCGTGCCCAGTGGGCCTCCACTGTACATTAGCCACGGCAAGAAGTTTGCCCATGCTTAGTGTTCCCTGGTGAAGATTCGGGGCCTCACTCAGTGACATTCCAGGACTTAACTCCCAGCCCCTCCTCCATGCCCCGCAGAAGTGCCTGTAAGCGAAAATTCCCCAAAGGAAATTTATGTCCGTGTCCTCGGCGTCACTCCTCTGTGGCGATGCACAACAGCTGTTCACCATCTTTTGTAAAATCACCCGAAAATGGCAATTAAGTCACTCCTCAGACTTCTCTTCTGCAGGATATTTAATCCCCGTCCCCTTGACCACCCGCTCCCCGCCCCCCGTGGATCCAGTGTGCCTCCCCCTTTGATTAGCACTGCTACTCTTTCTAAATCCTCTCTGAATTCCGCCTGTCTCGCTTCAGTTGTGCAGGGTTTGAGAAGACCCGATCTCCTAGAATGCCAAGGCACAGCAAAACTCGGTTCAGAAGTTGGGGTTGAGTGGGTGGGCAGTAAGGACAGTGATTGAAAGCCCTCTTGGGATGCCTGTGTGCCCCATGCTCCAGTGCCTGGTTCGGGTCCTGGCTCGCTCGCTCTCTCTGATTCCAGCTCCCTGCTATAAAGCACAGGGAACAACAGGTGATGACTCAAATACTTGGTCCCCTGACACCTATATGGGGGTTCTAGCTGGAGTCGCTGGCCTGGCCTGAATGCAGGCATCTGGGGAGTGAACCAGCACATGGGAGATCTCTGCCTGTCTTTCTCTTGAACTAAAAGAGCTTTCCTGAGTGTCACTTGAAGGATGGGTTACAGGAGCTTTGGCCCTAGGCTTCCAGGTACAGGAGTGTCCGTCTCTGGTTGGAAAGGCAGCTACTGGAGGACTTTTCTCTGTGTTTGTCTAAGGACGCTGGAAACTGTTTTATTCTCACGTGAGGCTGGAATGTAAGATGGAGTTTCTCATCTATACTGAAGGCTAGATTACTCGGCTGCAGGCCTGTCTTCACTGGCACGAGCGCCGACCCCTCCCTCCCCCCGCCGTGCGTCCGTCCCTGTGGCTGCCACCGCACGGGACACTTGTTTGGTGGGGCCATCAAGTTCCTGCCCTCGCCCCTGAGCAGCCCAGGGCTGTGAGCTGTTGTGGAGGGCTCTGGGACCGCTCTAACTTACTTGTCCGCCCTCCTGCAGGGCCGAGGGCCCCGTTTCTTCTCTGACCACCTTCAGCTCTGCTTCTCTCCAAAGCGGCTGGTCAGCCTCACTTTCCTCCTCCTGGAAGAACAGTTCATGGGCACTCAGCCCTTCTCCCAGGTCTACCAGCTCTGAGAAGAACAGAGGTCTTACTGAAGGTGCTCGGGAGCTTCCTCCTCTCTTCTGGTCTCTCTCTCTCTCTCTCTCTCTCTCTCTCTCTCTCACACACACACACACACACACACAGACAAATGAACCTGCACCTACACCCTCACAGCTTTCAGGGGCACTTGGCATTCGCACTGAGATCCAAGCTGTTTAAGGAAAACAAAGCAGTACTGGGAAGGCATGGCTAGGCATTCCACTGAGGCTGGGGCCGAGGAGGACTTGGCAAGGTTGTCGTCTTCTCTCTGCCCTCTCCCCCCGCCCCCCGTAATCCCACAGAGAGCCGTCATCTCTCATAGAAATTCAAACCCCTGCTCTGTGTAAGCCCTGTTGCCTTCCAGGTATTTTTTCTGTTCTGAAATAGCACTGGTTGGGACTGGCCATGTGGTGTAGTGGGCTTAAGCCGCTGTCTGCCACGCGAGCAGCCCATGTGTGCGTGTTCTGGCTGCTCCACTTCCGATCCTGCTCCCTGCTAATGAATTAGCACTCGTTGCCTGCCGGAACAACCTCTGATTTTGGTCTGGCCGGGAAGACCAGGTGCACTGCTCCCCAGTGCCAGGGAGGGAGGAGAAAATCCATCGGTCCCCTCTCTGTCCACCCCCACCCAAGCTGACTCCTCCCTCGGCGCCCGCAAGGTGGGGCTACACCTAGCCTGCCAGCACCTTAAAATTCAGAAAGCATTAGCTTTCCTCAACTTCTCTGATTCCAAAAGAGAGGGAGGGAGTATGATACCATATTCACGTAATCAACACACAGTGCAGTATGTAATATATAATTGTTAGAAAGATGCTGAGCTTAACAACTTGGAACCGTTTTAGTGGGAGTGGCAAATATGATTTTAAAAAAGGAATAATGTTTATTGAGTCAACAGTGAGATGTGCTTTGTTCATAGGAATAAACAGTATCTGTACGGATCCCCTTTCATACCAGGAACCATTGTTTGTGAGTGCCAGGAATTAATGTCAGAGAGCATGGGTGTGGTGAGGGGACAGTTACAGTCAAGTAATCAGATAAATCACAGTCACAAACAGGAGTGGGTTCGTGAGGCAGAGGCCAGGAAGCACGATGTGTATGGCACATGGGGAGGCATACAAGGGGGCCAGGTGGGCCTCTGTGGTCAGCAGAGACCCGCGAGGAGCAGGGGGACGGGGTTTGCTTTAAACCACTTTAAGGAGGAAGCCGGATAGTCCCTAAGGTCTGTTAACCCTAAATGTGTTGGATACTTAGTAATTTTTTTTGACAGGCAGAGCTAGACAGTGAGAGAGAGAGATAGAGAGAAAGGTGTTCCTTCCATTGCTTCGCCCCCGCAAGTGGCCGCTATGACCAGCGTGTTGCGGCCAGTGCGCCGTGCTGATCCAAAGCCAGGAGCCAGGTGCTGCCCCCCGGTCTCCCATGCGGGTGCAGGACCCAAGGACCTGGGCCATCCTCCACTGCTCTCCAGGCCACAGCAGAGAGCTGGACTGGAAGAGGAACAACCGGGACAGAATCCGGCGCCCTGACCGGGACTAGGACCCGGGGTGCCGGTGCCACAGGCGGAGGATTAGCCTAGTGAGCCACGGCGCCGTAATTTTAAGGAGTAGTCAAGACAGCAGGGCATGAAAGCAAAGTTCAATGGAGGCAACCCTTGTGGTTCTCCTGGAGCAGGCCGTAGCCTGTGCGGTAAGAGACCAGGGAAGCCATGCTGGTTCTTGCAGCTGAGCCCCTCGGCGCCCTGCTCGTGATTTGCACAGCACGCGTCTGTGCCCATCATGGCCCTGAGGTCCACATGCGCTGCTGGTGCCTCCGTGGCTGGAGAGCACCACTGTGTGCCGTCAGGGCTGCCGAGGGGAGCACGGTGCAACTCTTTAATCCTGTTGTCTTGTTGTTTCACTCCTCAAGGCTCGGGCTGTCTGTTGAAAGCATCTTCCAAGACTGGCTCGAGAGCTCTGGGATACCGCAGGTAGGTCCGCTCGGGCTGACCGCCACAGGAGCATCTGTAACGCTGGTTCTTTAGCCTCTCAGTTGTGCTGTTCTAAGCCGTGTGTATAAAAGGAATGGTTTTGCCGAGTGGGAGTATCTGTAATCCGGGGAAATGCTGGGCTCCCTGCCACCAGGGACTTGGCACCTCTGGCCATTCTTCCAGATGACCTTGGTACCATCAGTGGGTGTGATGGCAGCCCCCAAACTCTGAGTTAAAATGAGGTCTTGACAAGTGTGGGGTGGACTTTGGGTGGAGTCAGCAGGCAACAGTGTAACGGCCCCAGTGGGTTCAGCGGTAAGGCCTGCCTCTGGTCTCTCTGGTTGGAGCCAGGCAGGTGAACCGGTTTGCTACAACTTCTGCGTGGCCTGCGGCAGCCACAGTTTCTGTGCCTCTCCTCCGCAGGGCACCTGCCCTGGACTCCCTCCCCTGATTCGGCAGCAGGTCCCTGCTCAAGCCGCCTCACCTGGATGACCCATTTGGAGTCAGTTTTCTTCCTTGGTGACCTGGCCTACCTCCTACTCGAGATTTTGTTCTCTTTCAGTCCACGAGTGACTGAGGGACAAACCTCCTTGTAGCCAGCCCTGGCTCTCTGGGCATCAGTCGTCTTGATATGTCCCCTCGTCTTCCACTTTCCCCACTTCCTGCGCCTCTCAGAGCCTGGGGACAGCTGAGGCCCCCCCTCTTCAACTGACCATTGTAGTGGGCCTTGGTGTGCAGGGGTGGACCCCGTGGTGGTGAGAAACTCCACTTTCGGCCCGCTCGTTTCTGGTTTCATGTGGTTACATGAGCTTCCCCTCGGGAGTGTCTGAATGGCAACGAACGGCTGTGACCCATGAAATGAAGGAACAGGAGGGACCGATCTCCATTACGCTTTCATCCCTTTGCTCACCTCTCTGTCCTTTCCACCCCACGAGGGGACGATGTCGCCACCATTAGCTCGTTCCCGACAAAGGACACTTACCTACAGTTCAGGAATGCGTGTCACCCGTTCAAGTTACTGGTTTGGCCTGAGCTTTCTGGGAGAAAAAAAAAAAAAAGAGAGAATAAAATTCCGAGTGTTAATAATAAGGAAACAAAACAAAACAGAGGGTGGGACAAAGCAGCACCTGGCCTGGCTGGGAGGCCACGCTTTCAGCTTACATGTTGTGGTTTCTTAGAAGGTGACCTCCAAACCAGACCACTCCCTGAGTACAGAAACTCTGGGGAAACAAATTAAGGTCTATCTGGTCACCGAAAGCCGAAGCCTGGCCCTGCGTGGTTCAGATTGGTGGAGGGAGTCAGGTGGTGTGGTGGCGTTCTCAGAAGCCGCTTTAGCTCTGTGTTCTGAAGCCAGACTGTCAGAAGGCTCCCAGACATTCTTGGTGTGGCCTGGAGGCCGGGAAGCAGTGGGAGCTGAGAGAGGCAGCTCCCAGATTTCCTGGACTGGAACAACAAGGCTGCTGTTCTGTGGCCGTGGCTCCCAAGGGAAGGGGAAAAGAAAGAGCCCTTAATTGCATGCCCAGGGACAGCAGGCACACCCCACTTGGGTTGTGGCACTGGCACTGACCCTCTCAATGCCAGCACGGTCTGTGATCTCCCCTGAGGAGGAGGAGGCTTTGCCACCAGCGGGAGACTTGTGCTTTTCTTTAAAAGGGGCAGCGGGACGTGAAGGGAGAGATTTGCCCCTGAGCCGCACATTTTTTTTTTTCCAAGGGTCTGGTTGCATCAGTGACAGCTTAGAGCATAGACAAGAATCTCCGCTATAAACTGACGAAACCTGCTGTCAAAACAGCCAGGTGCAATGAAGCCGAGCGGCTATAAATTGTCTTTAAAACCCAACTGGTATTTCCGTGGGTGCTTAACTGTTCAGTAAAAACAACAGCGCCACACAGAAAAGACCCTGATTTAGTGCGCGCCTTCCCCCGGCGAATGAGCGAGTGAGCACACGGCATGTTTCCATCTCTTCCACCCCGTTTTCTGCCATCATTCATGCGGCGGCGGGGATCTGCCTGCCCTCAGCTGCTTTCGCTCCCCGCCAGAGCTCCCCGTCTGGTTCCCACTTCCGTGAAAGGCCCTGCGGGGACCCTGGGCCCTCCGGCTACCGGAGCCCTGCTGTGAATGGGACACCTTGTTCTCGGACCCCATCATTATAATATAAAGTTACCAGTGTGCTTGCCCCGGAACGACAGCCAGAGCTCTGAAATCGCGCCCCGCGCTCTTTGTTCTGGCTACACATTCCTGCCCACCAGCCGCGGCGCTCACTCACGACAAAAGGGTCACGTTCTACTGGTGAAGTGTTCATTCCACAGGTTACAGAGGCCTTTTGTCTCCTCTCTGGAAGGCTGGCTTTGTGGTTGGCCTCAATTTTCCTTTTTGGCCACATCGAATGGAAGCCATAAAAAAAAAAAAAGTGGAAATAGCTTCAGCATCAATAAAAGTATAAAAGCAAGCATGAGCCCCGCAGGAGCAAAAGAAATTGGATCCCAACCTCTTTGGAGAACACCTCGATCCCGTACCCTTTGGCCTTGCAGAGATTTGAAATTGATTGTTCCCATTAGTGTAATAGATTATTTCCTTTCATGACATGCTTTCCCGGTGATAGAAGTATTACACATCACTTTGCAATGTAAAAAGGTTGGTAAATAAGGAATCAAAAAATGACCCAGAGATAATTTGGGGGGGAGGGATACTGTTATTTCATATAATTGGTATTTCTGTGAATTGGATAGATCATGCCATGTAAACCTGGACTATAATACACTGGACATTCTTTTTTGTCATTGTTAATGAATATTATAGTTTTTATGGGTACCATCTACTATTTCAATGTATGTACGCAGCGTCAACTGTTCAGATCAGGCAGTCGATCATGTCCATTTCCGTAGCTCCTCTCCTCCAGTTCCGTACACAGCGTGGATAAACGATGATGGTGAACTCCAGCCACCTCGCTGTGCTGTGCAGCACTAGGGCTTGTTGCTTCTGGCTGACTGTTTTGGTACCCATTATGGAACCTTCCTCTGTCCATCCTCACCCCCATCCCAACATCATTACATCATTTATTTTTATTTTTATTTTTATTTTTATTTTTATTTATTTGACTGGTAGGGTTATAGACAGTGAGAGAGAGAGAAACAGAGAGAAAGGTCTTCCTTCCATATTGGTTCACTCCCCAAAGAGCGGCTACGGCTGGCGTTGCGCCGATCCAAAGCCAGAAGTCAGGTGTTTCTTTCTGGTCTCCCATGCGGGTGCAGGGGCCCAAGCACTTGGGCCCTCCTCCACCACCCTCCCGGGCCACAGCAGAGAGCTGGCTGGAAGAGGAACAACCGGGACGAGAACCCTGCACCCATATGGGATGCCGGCGCCACAGGCATAGGATTAACCAAGTGAGCCATGGTGCCGGCCCCCCAACATCATTTTTTGATATACATTCTGCCAGTCATTCTTCTGGACATGTAAGTACATATTTTTTTTTTCTTCCCTCCATTTTATTTTTAAATTTGAAAGGCTGAGTGAGAGAGAGATAGGAGTTCTCCTATCCAGTGGTTCACTCTACAAATGCCTGGTTCCTAACAGGAGCCCAGAACTCCATCCCAGTGTCCCATGTGGGTATAGGGACCCAAGCACTTGGGCCACCATCTGCTGCTTTCCTAGGCACCTTAGCAGGGAGCTGGATTAGAAGTGGAGCAGCTGCGATAAGAACAAGTGCCCATATGGGACTCCATTATTGCAGGTGGCACTTAACTCGCTGCTCCACACGTCAGGCCTCTCCGCTGGTAAAAGTAAAAATAATGTGCTCTCTGTAGCAAGTTCAAAACAGAGAACATAAAAGCCCTTGCCCCTTCAGTGTTACTCCTCATAGGTAACTCATGCCTGATAATAGCTTGGTGTGCGCCCTCCTGTGTTTCCGTGCTGTATGGACTGTAGGTGCGTGTCCTTTTTAAATCAAATGGGGATCTTATCTTCCAGACTTACATTTTTTAAGAATATATACTGAGGGGCTCGGCGTCGTGGCATAGTGGGTTAAACTGCTGCCTGCAAAGTCGGCATCCCGCATGGGGGCTGGTTCGTGTCCCGGCTGCAGCACCTCTGATCCCTGCTAATGAATAGGAGAGAGCAGTGGAAGATGGCCTGAGTCCTTGGACCCCTGCACTCACTTGGGAGACCCGGATGAATCTTCTAGCTCCTGGCTTCGGATCTGCCAAACCTTGAACGCTGCAGCCATTTAGGGAGTGAACCAGCTGATGGAAGATCTTGCACTCTCTCTCTGTCTCTCTTTCTCTTTCTGTAACTGATTTTCAAAATAAATAAAGAAATCTTAAAAGAATGTATCTTGAGTGGTTTCCCATATCCCTTAATATAATTCAAGAGTGGTGATTTTTAGTGGCTGAATTACCTCCCAATGAATAATACCATAAAACAATGTACTCAGCTCTCCCATCCAGTTAAACCTTGGTATCCTCAGGGAATTGTTGCCAGGACACCCTACAGATACCAGGATCCATGAATATTCAGCTTCCTTATTTGAAAGGTATAGGGTTGTATGGAACCTGTGCTTTATTTTTTTTTAAAGATTTATTTATTTACTTGAAAACCAGAGTTACACAGAGAGAGAGAGAGAGAGGTCTTTCATCTGCTGGTTCACTCCCCAGTTGGCCACAACGGCTGGAGCTGCGCCAATCCGAAGCCAGGAGCCAGGAGCTTCCTCCGGGTCTCCCACGAGGGTGCAGGACTTGAGCCATCTTCTACTGCTTTCCCAGACCATAGCAAAGAGCTGGATCCGAAGTGGAGCAGCCGGGTCTCGAACCAGCACCCATATGGAATGCCGACATGGCAGGCGGTAGCCTCACCTGCTACACCACAGCACCAGCCCCAGAAGTCATTTATAGATTACTTATAAGACCTACTTCAATGCAAATATTGTGCAAATATTTGTTACACAGGGAATAATAAGAAAAATTGCTACATATTCTGTGCAGTTTTTAAAAATTGTTTTCGATCTATAGTTTGTTGATTTCACTGATGGAGAGGGCGGCTGTGCGTTATTTCTGAGAAAGCTGCACATTCTGCTCATTTGTCAGCTCTATAAATAGGTTTTTGACTTCTTTTTATGTCTGCCCAAAGGCTCCCTCCACCCCATATGCACATGTATTCGGATCTTCTTTTTATGCAAATATGCTAGAAATAGCTTTCCTCTGCGCAGCCGTTCTTCTCTACTCCTTGACTGAACTGGTGCAGAACCCTGGCTCCTCCTGTGCCCTTGATTTCCTTGCTGCCCTGCGCAGAGTCCCGAGGCCCTGGGCGCTGCTGATTCGCATTTCTGCTCTTCCGCCCTTTGCTGGCACCTCCCACTGCCCCTTCACTGCCTCTTGCTTGTGTCTGAGTGGTAGCTCATTCGTCTTGTGGGTGCCAGTCTCTCCCTCTTCCCGTCCATCACTGACATCACTACGAGTGCTGGTCTTCCCCAGACAGCTCACATCATCCATCCCCCTCACCTGAAACCTTGCCTCATGGACAGTGCATTTAGAATGAGCTCCTTGGCCTGCTCTGAGGCTCTCAGCAATACCGCCCCAAGCTCCCCTTTTCCACCTCCTTTCCCACCGCTCCAGGCACACGCGTGACTGTCCCTACCCGTCTCCACACACTGTCAGCCTCGCCCGGCGCCAGCCTCCCTTGGTGCATTCCGCGTGCTCTTCTTGGAGTGCTTTCCTTCCCCTGTGGGTAACGTGCGTCACAGTCTGCTCTCGGCGTTTGTGCCTGGTGCTGCTCCCCACTCTCCCACCACTCTCAGGATCCGCAGTTATGTCTGACTCGTCCTTGTGGTAACTGCTGTGACGCTCATCTGTTGTGGGCCTTGGACACAGCAGCCGAATGCCACACCTGGTTGTTAAGCAATGAGGTCTCTAGTGCACCTGTGGGCCTGAATTTTTTATTTAATCTCAAGTTGAAATGTAAAATCTAGTAATTCAGTTGTTGTTTGGAACAACTTGGGTATGTACTTGCATCTACATTTCTCCAGCTGTAAATTTTTAGGAAATAGGAATGTATACACTAAGAATTTCTGATTAAAATTTGGTATCGGGGTCAAGATGGAACGTGAAAACTTACCAGATTTAGAAGACTTAGTCCAAAAATGAAGGTAGATTATTTCTTTAATTTTTGAAGATTTATTGTATGTTGAAATGATAATATTTTTAATGCAGTCCAGGACAGTTGTGCATTGAGTCGGCCCTCTGCATGTGAGTTAAAAATGTTTGGGAAAATACATCTATATTGAACGTTATGCACCTG